TCCATTGTTTGTGGGTTATAATGGCCAGTAATTGTGTTACAGTTAGAAGTGTGTTTATATATGAATACGATACTTATTTTGAAGAGCTTATATCTTTAAACTACTTGCCGTGTAGTTATTTATGTCGTCAGTTATTTGGCAAGTCTTAGAGGTTACAACGATAAAATTCAGGTTTTGATACCCGCGTTGAGCAGGGCACAGATAGCCCAATGTGTTATTTTTATTTTATGTTGTTGTTGAATACATATACCATGGGATATTTGTGCTGGGCCCACTGTGGATATCAAAACCCGTTTATTAGAGTTATATGGGCCTTCAGACTTTTCGCTGAGCCTCCGAGAGAGAGGTTTGTTTGTTTGTTTGTTTTTGAATTTCGCGCAAAGCTACACGAGGGCTATCTGCGCTAGCCGTCCCTAATTTAGCAGTGTAAGACTAGAGGGAAGGCAGCTAGTCATCACCACCCACCGCCAACTCTTGGGCTACTCTTTTACCAACGAATAGTGGGATTGATCGTCACATTATAACGCCCCCACAGCTGAAAGAGCGAGCATGTTTGATGTGACAGGGATTCGAACCCGCGACCCTCAGATTGCGAGTCGAGCGCCCTAACCACCTGGCCATGCCGGGCCGCCCCGAGAGAGAGAGGTGGTGGGGGGGGGGGGCTTACCGTGAATTAACCCTAATATTAAAAGTACGGATTTACTCGGTTTTCTATACGTGTTACAACTCACTAAGGATGCCTTTTGAATCTCCTAGTTTGTATAACATTCCATTGCTTGAGTCTCCGAAGAATCACCCTATGGGGCAGCGGTAAGTCTATGGACTTACAACCCTAAAATCAGAGGTTTGATTCCCCTCGGTTGACACAGCAGATAACCTGTTGTGGCATTGCTATAAAAAATATACACACATACAGGCCTCCCATGCATTCGAAATTCCCTTTGTCTCTAGCATTGGACCTTAACGTTTGTAAAAATAACACGAGAAAAATATTAATGAAAAATAACGCTTAGTTTATTATTTAAATAAATGCGTGTCGTTGTGTTGTAAATATAGACTTGTCTAAACTCGGTAAAGCAATCTATAACGACCAATCAACACATCATATATATATATACAAGGAACTAATCAACAAAGAAAGCGCTGCTAAATTCAGTTAACACAGGTATTGGCGATCATTACGCGGTTTTAGAATAAGCATATAAAATATTATGGCTACTCATTATTGCTATGGCTACGTAATGTTGCTATGACTCCGTATGAATTTTTTAACAGAGTTACTTGTAAATTTGTACAATAATTTGTTCGTTATTTTCGGATCTTCGTGCAAAGATACTCAACGGCCAGCTGCGCTAGCCATTCCTAATATTCGAACTGATAGACTAGTAGGAAGTTATATAATCAAAAGCACCCACCGCCAACTCTTGGGCTACTTTGTACAATAATGAAGAGTATATATATTTTAGGAGATTCAACACTGGTGGAATTATGGTTATCACCTATAAATCCCCTCGATACGCGTGTTTTACAAGAAACAAAAGCGTTTAACCGCAGGAAATGAAACAATACTAAAGCAAAAAGTGCGACCCGAATCCCAAACAGAAAGTTTGAAATGGAAAATCCTGATTTAGCGCATTAGTGTGAAAAATACTATGTACGAAGGACATGTTGGCATCATTAAGGTTATGTAGAGACGCATTAGTGTGAAAAATACTATGTACGAAGGATATGTTGGCATCATTAAGGTTATGTAGAGACGCATTAGTGTGAAAAATACTATGTACGAAGGATATGTTGGCATCATTAAGGTTATGTAGAGAGATTAGATCCCCAGCATAGAATTAATCGAACGTGAATACAGAAACATTTTAACACAAACTACAAGTAACGAAATAAATATACGCAGACATACTGTATATCGTAACAGTTGTCGCCACCAGTACTGTTCAACACCAGGCAATATATGAATTCAACTCGTAGTTTAAAGTGGTGAGACCGGAAACACATATCCATATAACCTAATAGATTAATAACCTACTAACCACTCAAACTATACACAGTAAACAGATAAGACACACCAGCTACTCAAACTATCTGTATACCACAGTAAACAGATACAACACATTAGCCCCTCATACTACTTCTATATCACAAGAAGCAGATAAGACACACCAGCCACTCAAATTATTTATATATCACAGAAAATAGATAATACACATACTCGCCACTCAAAATATCTGTATACCACAATAAATAGATAAGACACACGAGCCACACAATCCCTGTTCATTTAACATCAGTGGTTTCTGCTTACTCTACTATATATCTTAACAACTAAAATTACACATAAAAGTCCACAATAGATAAATTTGAACGTTTTAAACTAATATTTCTGCATGGTTTTATTTCTGTGTTTGCTTATCTTATCATTAGGAGTTCAGAATTATGTCGTATTGGTTTATTATATCCATCAGTATTCTACAAGATCATATCAAACGCCAGTGACATACGTACTCGTAAAATTATAAATGCTAAAAAGACAAAATGGAATATAAAACAAAGAAAGTTAAGAAATTACATGATTTTGGATATTTATACGACGGTTTGATACTGAAAGAATTCTAGAAATAAATTTATCTTTCAATATGTGATGAGCATATAGGTTGACTGACGTACGATTCCGCCACTTTGCCTTTCCTGTCGCACGCGTCTTCCATTTTCTATAACAGATCGCAATTTCAAAACAGTCTGTGTACGCACGTCAATCATTCTAAAGTTTAGCCTAATAACCACTTTGAACAACGAGCCGTTACTGTTAGTTCCACAGACAAATATTAGACCTAGAATTTATAGTCTAAATATACTATATTGAGAGTAAACAACCTAATTTTAGTACATATTTCTTGTGAAAATCACTTTAACGTAAAGTTCACGTTTCAAATTCAAATCAATATCTTGAAACAATATATACAAGTATTACATATTTACAACGTTGGGACGGTTAAACATACGGGATGGGCCACAATTACCTACCCAACACTTGCACTTGGATATCGAAAAGGGTGGAACTAGTGGGGAACATTGTGGTAATGTGCTACACATACTAAATCATGGCCCAAATTGTAGTGTTCAACCGATAGAGATAACAGTGGTAAGACTGACTACATGATCCAGACGTAAACATAGGCCCTCAGTGATAGCTACATAGTCCACAGTATAGACATATAAAGTGAAACAGCTTATAAACAAAATTGAGATTTGGGAATTGGCAACTCTGAAGAGAAAGACTAACAACAAGGTTTGGCAGAGAATGGTGGTTAAGGTGCTCGACTCGCAATCTGCAGGTTACGGGTTCGAATCCCCGTCACTGAACATAGTCGCCCAGTTAGCCGTGGGCTCACCCTTTTAGCCGTGGAGACGTTATAATGTAACGGTCAATCCCACTATTCGTTTTATTTTTTATCAACGAGTATTGGGATTGACGTCACATTAAGTCAATGTTTGGTAGGACGGGGATTCGAACCCGTAACCTGCAGATCGCGAGTCGAGTGCCCTAACCATTTGGTCATGCTGGGCCAGGAAAACCCACGTTATTTAGAAATGTTTGTTTTTCGTTTTGAAACTTTGTGTTCTTCACCCAGAAAATTCAAATTCACACTTGATAATCAATTGTTATAATTATCATAAAATACGTTATTATTATTATTTTTCCAAAGGGGATACATCCTAGATAAGGATAGTGGCGACATGTTCCAGCACGAGTGCACTTCCTATACCCTATTGACACGTCGTATGTAACAATCCAATTTAAAAACTACTAAAATATTAAAGTCCAACTTTGCATACAAACATTAGTTTATTATTTCAGATAATAGTGATTACTGTTGTTGCATGAGCTATATTAAACTAATTGCTATTACTTACGTAATAATGGAAGACGATGTGTCATAGCAAGAACGAAACGTTTTATAACCGTTAATAACGGCGTTATGTTTATACAGGCATCTCTTCGAAACAATGAATAGGTACATATAAGTTTGTACGTATTTTACACAGATCTGTTTGTCTGTAGGTTCTAAACAAAACCACAAGGAGATGAGAGAGAATTGTATGTAGAGTTATTTGTTAAAACACACTATTCTTATCTCACTAACCATGTTAACGAATTATCTTTAGATGAATTTTTCCCCTCGCTAACAACAATTCTTACCTGCCTGTTTTGGTGACGACCATCTCAGTTCCTGCAGCATGAAACTGTTCCCAGAGTTCCTTGGACTCCAAGGTTACTTTGGGATCATCCTGTACACTGTCTTCTTCGGGCTCCAAAACTCTTACCGACCGTAGGAGTCCATTTTGACTAGCCGTTATGTATGGCCGGACTCTTGGCAGTTCAGAGAGTACCTTGGGGAAGGGGGTCGTTGGGTAGGGATGTGGCAGTGGGTAATAGGACGGCTGAATAAGTGTACTGACGCTGAAGTCAGGTGGTTGGCGGCTGGGGGGCAGCAGAAACGGGTGGTAAGCCATTCCCTGGGCAAACTCTGAAGGTTCGGAGCGCATGGAGATAGCCCTGGCAGCGGGAGAGAACGAAGCAAAAATGTACTGTGGCCAGGCTGCCAACACAGAATCTAATACACACGGTATATAGAAAACTGAGATAACCAGTTTCACAAGTGTGAAACATAGAAACAAGGCTACAAAGTCCAGCAGATCTTGACTGAATCAAGTATAGTAAAAATTGATTATAATACACACGGTATATAGAAACTGAGATAACCAGTTTCACAAGTGTGAAACATAGAAACAAGGCTACAAAGTCCAGCAGATCTTGACTGAATCAAGTATAGTAAAAATTGTCGACCAATCAGAAAGTTTGGCCGTGCTTTCTCATCAAATTAGGAAACAGTACAGGTCAAAAAGTTTGATTAGTTGGTTTCTTCAAAGTATACTGTATTCTTTAAGCCTATTATTAATATTATTATATCTGGTTAAGCTTGGTTAAAAAGAAAATAAAGCATTATACTTCTCTTTTATGTCACACGAACTAGCTAAATAAAACCTTAAACTGACTTATCACTGTTTCCTAGTTCTTCCCATTCATATTTATTTAGTCATGATGGCAATCAGATGTTCTGTGTTGTTATGAGTGGATGTCAGTATTTCCATCTTTGCTTCTCACGCACAATTCAAGCTGAACCGTTAACACCATTTACTCGTACTCGGAAACTCACATCGAAAATGACGAAACAACCATCTACGGTGATTAACTTTCTTTGCATTGCTGCTTCATGTGCCCACAATTGGTGTTTTGGTGCTGGGAGTATGACGTTCTCTACAGCTGTGCTTGTCAATCAAGCGCCTTGAAAACTAAATAATAAGATACAGTTCGATTTATCAATCCGGTAATCATCACCTTGGTAACGAGCTTACAATTATTCTCTCTTGCAAGAACTTTATGGAAAAACAGACCTTAATGTTTCTGTAACAGTAAAGAAACATGGGATAGTTGTTTCACTTTTCGCTGTGTTTTGGAAGTAAAATATAAGTTTGGATTTTGTTCAAACGAAAGGAAATGTAAAATCTGCATGTGCTCTTACTTGAGGAGGCGGGATTAATAGGTACCGCCTAATAGGAACACGTAGCCAATGATGAGCTCTCAACGATATGAGAATCGCCTACTATTCAGCGTAAATCTTGACGTCGGAATAATCGCACAGTAATAATACCGCCTTTTTTGGACGCTGTTTACGATGTTTTGTAAGATTGAAAAAAATATAAACTTGCCATATTTAGACCTACTATTAGGCTGTCTGCTGGATTGAAATTTGTTAAAACCCACAATTAAATCTTTGGCATAAATTATAGAGGCATTGTTCTGGAACAGGGTCTCCCTAAAAGGACAGAAAATGTAAATTCACAAATATCATTGGTAAGTTGATGGCCATCGAAATATTTTGAATGAAGAAATCATGCCAGTTGTCGCCACCCAGGTAATAACATTTAACACAGCTAAAGTAACTGTAAGTTTTCTTTTGCCCGAACAACTTAAAAGACGCAGACACTCTAAGATATATTTATAATTTCTGGTT